TCATGTACCTATTTTCATAAAGTTCCTAAAGCTCAAAAACTGATCCTCTCCATTTTAAATTCTTGTGATGTCATTAAATTAAAACCATTGTTGAGGGAAAGAAAAAGGCTGCTTTAGAAGAAGTTAAGAATCCAAGAACCTCCCCACCTTTCACCCCACCAATATATATATATGTATATGTTATTTATTTATATATACATATATAGTGCATTTAGTTGCCTAATTTCTGCTAATAATATACTGAGAATTTCAATTATGTGGTTTAAAGATAAAATGCATAAAAGAATATTTAACATATAAATCAAAGAGGGAAACGCTCTCAAATAATGAAAATAATTTGAGAAGTATTTATACTTCATCTTTATGAAAGCTAAGAATTGATTTTATGCTAAATATCTCAAATTGTCATATAACAGCCCATGAAGGAAAAATCATAAAAAATCATACTTCACATCTACTCTATTTCACATCTAGAAACACATGCATTTTTCAAACAAGGACAAGAAAGACAGATCAAAATAAATTTAGTTACAAATACGCCACTAATATTTTATAGAAAATCTTTGTACATCTTAATCTTTCTGGAGTTACACATTTTTAAGCAGACATTTTTAAAAAATATGATTATCTGTAGTTTTATAAATTATTTATAATAAATGCTAAACAGAAATATTTTAAAAATTACTCAGTAGTCCAGAGAATATGGTTAGGGGTTGAAGGACTTAAATTCTGCTGATGATAAAGGCATGTCATCAGATTCGAACTTTCAAATGCCTGAGAATTTGTGAAAAGGTGGTTATAGTTTTTCTGTTTTGATTTTATAATTCAATACTATGGAACAAAGTTCTTGCTCACTCAGGTAAAGTTAGATGGCAGTAATAAAAAAGAGTGCCTGTTTTAGAAAAGCTCTAACAGATTTTTCATTTGCATCTAGTTAGAACCCTTCACTGAACATCACTTCTGATGCTATGAAATTAAATGTAATAAATTTTCTTTAAACTGCTGGTTCACAAAATCACTTTTTTAGTTACAAAATTCTTTGTTCTGTAGACAGTCATGTCTGTTTGACATTTTAAATGCAATAAAATAAAATTATCATTTATTTAAACCTAATTCTACACTTCTTTGATGATTCAGAGATGCTTTAAACATCTTACATTCTCTCGTGCATTTTAATGGGACTTATACTCACTATAAGTCATTCATTCCATAAATATTATGATACTGTCTTCTAGATTTTGCTAAAATACCAACACTAGTTTGTTAGTTTTTCATGATTCAAGACCAGTGTCACAAAATCAATCAGAGAGTTGTGTTTCCGCACTAGGATGGGGATCATTGGCTTTGTGAATATGGGTCACATTTCTTCTTCTTTTTAATTTTTTAAATTGCAATTTATATTCAGTATTATTCTGTACTGTTTCAGGTGTACAACAAAGTGGTTAGAAAATCATGTGCTTCACAGTGTGGCCCCCCCGCTGCTTCATGTACCCATCTGGCCCCACACATAGCTACTATGATATTACTGACTGTATTCCCCATGCTGTAATCTGTATGTCTGTGACTATTCTATATCTGTCATTCCTGTTGATTTTTCTTAACCCAGAGCACAAATATCCCATGGATGGTCAAAAAAAATTTTAATTGCTGAAAGACCTTCAGTGTCTTACTTCAATATTCATGCACTCGTATATGGTCAGTCTGTCATACCCAGATCCCACATATACTTAATGACTGCACAGTATCTAGAAAAGGTGAATTGTCAAGTTATATATTTTCATACAAAGATGCATACCCCACAGATGCATATTTTAATGTGGATTGACCCAGAAAGCCAGAACAAAGAGTATGTGCAAGTTTCTCAGGGCCAAGTTTAGAAAGGTTAGGGACGTTCACCAAGGAGGTAGTATAGCACAGTGTTTAAAAGCAAGTGCTGTGGCGCCCACCAGACTTGGGTCTCTGCCCTCACTCTGTGTGATCTTGTCAAATTGTTTAATCTCTGGCCAGTTTCCATGCTTATGAAATGAAATAACCTCTATTTTACAGGTTTGCTGTACTGAAAAATTGAGATACCACGTTTAGCACAGTGTACTGAATACAAAAACGTGCAGATATGGTATTATTAAAATTATCTCCAATGCAAACAAGAAGGGAATTTCCTCCACATATTCCTTGAGTCATTAAAAAGAGGAAGGGAGCCTTGACTGTCAGCTGCACTTAACAACTTACTTCCAAAAACAGAGTACAGAAAAGGCCGGAAAAGTAGCTGTGCAGTAGAGAAAGCTAGAGCTCACTGACTCCCCTCCTGGGTGATCAAGACCTCAAGACCAATGTGATGGTGGTAAGCCACAGTGGACGCAGGTGACTCTGATACCATGTGATGAGCAGGGAACTTTATCTCTGTAGCAGTCATCATGGTCTCTCATGAGGAAAACATCAGACAAACATGAGTTAAGAAGCATTCTACAAAACAGCTAATCAGTCCTCCTCAAAGTTGTTAAACTTATGAAAACCAAGGAGAGATTGAGACACTGTCATAAACCAGAGAGGACTAAGGAGACATAATGCTTAAACACAACGTACAATAGTATCCTGGCTGGGATCAGAGGCTTGAACAGGGACATTGGTGGAAAAACTACTGAAGTATGAATACATTTTGGAATTTAGTTAAGTAAATTCAGTAAGAACAAATGATTTTTCAGCTTTGCTAAATGTGCAATGGTTATATAAGATGTTAAAAAACTGAAAAAAAAAAAGAATGAGAGGTATATAGGAATTATCTATACTACCATTGCAACTTCTTTGTAAATCTAAATTTAAAATTATTCCAAAATTTTAAAAAATGTACTAAAAGGCACTGTTGGAGGGAAGCCATGAAATGTAGAAAGCATGTGATTCAATTCACCTAAAGCACACTTACTTAAATATTAAATAGATACTGTAAATCTCCAGGATTTGAGAGCTTATGATTTTGAATTCTGATATCAACTTCATAAGTCAGGGCTTAATCCCCCACCTATCTAATGTGGTAAAATAACTTAACACGATGCTAAATGATGGGCATGAAAACATAAGACATATTTAAAAGACTTCAAATATATCAACAATTTTTACTCTTCTAACTAAAAGCACTTGGATGTTTCAGCATAAATGTCTTTTTTTCTTTTTCATTATGAACTACCACTCAATACCCGGTAGTATTTTTATAGCAAATTCAAATGTGCAACAAGTACATAAAAATACCTTTAAATGCTAAAAAAAAAAAGATAAAAAGTAAGGCCCCTCCAGAGTTTTCTTACATTGCAAAAAACGAATTAATTAGCCTAAAGTAGCACTTCTCTTCCTGAGTGCAGTTTAAAACAGAAACAAAAACCCTATGATATTGAAATCTTTCCACAACAGACACTCTCTTCAACATCTGAGCAGCGAACACTCATCAAAAGTCAGGCATTACCTCCTGATGTATAGCCCAGAATGTAGACAATTCACTTTTGTGTATTTTAAACAAGGTTCATATTTTCTTCACATAATAATAAATGGTGCAATACCTTTGCATGGGTTTACAGTTCTCCCTAAAACATTGAGCAGTTCTATCAAAAGGCTTCTCAGCTTCATTTTCTACGAAGTTACACTGAACTCCCACCAGAGGTTAAAATGGGCTTTGCTTTTAGGGCGCCTGTAAAGATATCCACTTTCTAAATTTATGGACAAGACAGCATTGCTTCTGTGGACAAATGGCACCCTGATTACTAAAAAGACTTGCTCTTCTGAGAGTATCTCTAGCAAGAGGTTATACTTTATTATTCTCCAAGTTAACCCAACACAAAGACTGAAGCAAAATGAAGTACTCTGCTATAGTTTGAGGGAGTTAAGTAATAGAAAATAATCCACTTCCCTTTTGGGTGTACTCTACAGAATAAAATGATAGATTTTTTTTTCAGGAAAAAAAGGTCTAAGTAAAATAAGGTATAGAAAAAATGTGCTTCAAACATATTTTCTTTAAAAGTCTTAACATTTCAAATAAAGTGCATCTTAAAGTATGCCCTCATTCTATCCCACAGTACATTCCTCCTGACATATATAGGTACTAATCAAATACCTGCTCAAAACTACTATTTAAAAATATGTATTAAGTCTGCATTCACCCAACAAATATTTATTGAGGGTCCACTATGTGCCAGGCTTTGTGTTAGGAAGCAGCATTATAGTCATTCCTTTAGAGCTACATTCCCTCCACTAAGTGAGCCTATTAGACCAAATCCCTTAATCGTTCAATAATTCATAGTGCTAAAATGTATGTTTGAATGGAGAAAAATAAAATTAGCACTAAAAGTCCTGACAACTTTGACATGTTAAATGGGCATCTCAGAAGCATTGTAATGGAAAGTAATCATTACATCAGAAAGCAGCAGGTCTTCAATATTAAGAGGAAAATTTAGAAATTGCTTTTATTATTGAAATGGGGTATTAGCTTCAGGAAAATGAACCAAGTAATCAGAAGTTTATAAGGCACAATTTATTGGAGGGGAAGAAAGTTGGATTTTGGCTCCTGAGTTAACTCCGACGAACTCAGTCAAAGCATTCCAGCCCAGGCTGAAGACACCCTACACACACAAAGAAGAGTTTTCCTCTTTGGTGCAGCTGATAAATAGGACCTGGACTACACACATTCGGCCAGGGTACCTTCCTTCCATGACGTTCAAAGGTCAGACAGCAGCGGAGCACTTTGGCTCCTGGGTTCTGACTCTGTGCCACAGGTGGCAAACACAAGGCCTGCGGGCCAAATCCGGCCCTCCACCTTGTTTTATCCAGCCTGGCACCTTGCTTCTACATGGCAGCAGTGCCAAGTTCTCGCTTAACACTTAAGGAGTGGTTACATTTATACAGTCCTAAAATTACATTCGGCCCTTTGAAGGCAACCACGAGGCTGATGTGGCCTCTCCATGAAAGTGGGTCTGACACCCCTGCTTTATGCAGTAACATATCCAACTAACTCTTACCAGAAGAAAGGAATTTAGGTAGGCGGCACTAACATCAAGACATGATTTTGCTTTTCAACGCATTCCGTTTTCTGAAACAAAGAGAAACATGATAGTGGCTTCTTTGTTATAAATTAAATCACTTAAAAAAGTAAACCTCAAATTATACACATTCAAATAAAATAATTTTCAAAAGAATTCATGAATTACCTAACAAAATTCCATTAGCAAATGTGTTTAGTGGAGGATAATTATATAAATCAAACAAATTTTACTCCCACCTATAGGCTTAGAACTGTCAAATAACCGAAAAGTCAAAACTTACAAAAGCTAAACCTACCTTCCTAGGCCCAGAATACTTCTAAAACACTAGGCATTCAGTTCTGTCGTAAATGGCTCTTCCTCTGCTTCTTGTCCCTTTCCCTGCCATAGAATATCATTCTCATTCTCATTTTTACTATTGCTAACAGTCTGCTTTAATGGCCACTCTAAGTTCTCCTTCACAGTCATCTGTGTGAAATGATATCTCAGACAATGAATCATACACCAGGCTGACTGGAGCCAACCAGTATACACTTATGGAAATATACCGATGGCCACAATGAGATAGCTACAATCCTAAAAGTGTCTAGCCTTCTGACCTCTTGGTGGATGCCTCAATATCACCTGGAATTCCAAAAATGGCATTTTAGGGTCCCAGAATGAACTCTCTATAGAGATTTCCTAGTCTCCTGAATAATTTCCACTCCTTGAACTAATATTGTTACAACATTGGTGGAAGAAACAGACATGAAATTAACTGATACAATTCGAATTAACAAGTGCATCAGTGCATCAGATACTTACATACAAAATGATAAAAGGGGGAGAATTTACTCATTTGCCTAGTCTGATGCAGGATGGTGACAAATAAGAGGTAACATTTAAACTGAGCATTAAAGCATAAGGAAGATATGAGTAACGAATGAAAAGAGAAGATGGGAAAAGATCAAAACCACATAAGCATGAACATGAAGCCACTTAGGACTGAATTGTATGCCTAGTGTTTTAGAAGTATTCTGGACCTAAGCAGTAGGTTTAGCTTTCTTAAGTTTTGACTTTTATTTTGGAAAGATGTCATGAGAAAAAAAAAGACACTATAAATTAACAGGAGACTAGATCTTAAATGCCCCAACACATAATTAAGCATTTACTATTTTAAAATGAGAGGCATTTAAGTTTTATAGAGGAGCAATAACTCCCATGACTATAAGAAAATGCTAAGAGAGAAAAGGCTTTACAGACAGGAGAACCAGCCACTCTAACCCTTGGCAGTGGCAGAAAAACAGAACAAAGGGATAAAGAACAAACATATTCTGGGGATATAATTGTCAGGATTTGACAAATGAAGAAAAAAAATGGAGCCCTACATATTTATTTTCTAGCCTGGGTGAAAAGAAGCCATCAATCTAAATGAGAAACTCAGACTAAGGCTGTCTTAAGAAAACAAGATTTAATCAAACCACCCTAAATTCTATAGAAAAAAAGAGGTAGGAAAGTCCGTCTAACAGAGTTCCCTTTGGAGCACAGGGAAGTAAATAGGGCTAGAACTGTATATTAAGGAATTGAAGGGCAGCAAAATTTGCCACCCCAAAGTATATGCCACTTGGGCATAGTGGTTAGTTTGAATTAAAGTTACTTGAGAAACAGCTGGTGTAAGAAGGACACTCTGACCCTCCTCTCAGTCTCCCTGAAAGCCAAATAAATCTGCCTGTGAAAGGTAAACACCTCCCACCCCCGCACCAGTAGATAAAACATCACCAAAAAAGTGATAAGACATTCAGCACACAGGGCGCTATGTCAACAAATGCTACTTAACTTCTTCACCAATAAGTACCCACATTTAAGTTTCTTTGTCTTGTCAGTTCTTCACAAATTTATTGTTGATTTGTCTAAAAAGGATAAAAGCAGCCTGCTTGGGTCAATTCTTTAGAACCATATCTATGGGGCCTCTGTATGTAAAAAATTAAAGTTGATTTTCTTCTGTTAATCTGTCTCATGCCAATTTAATTCTTAGACCAGTCAGAAGAACCTAGAAATGCAGAATAAAATTTTTTTCTTCCCTGACAGAGTCATGAGCACAAAGCTGGTGGTGAAGTCTTTGGAGTGGGTGGAATCATCCAAGGAGAAAGTGCTAAGCCGATGAAGAAGGCCAATGTCAGGAATTTAAGGAACTCGCATATTTAATGAATGAGTAGACAAAGAGTCAAACTGACCAAAAAAATCAAAGGCAGAATGCCAAAGGTTCGGTCTCATAAAAGGCAAAAGGAATAAAAATGTCCCATGGTAAATGGGAAAACATTCTAGAAGGATTCAAAGCTGGAAGAAGTAATTAATTTGGCTGACTTTGACAGAGGAGTCAAAACAAAGTGAAAGGAAAACTTATATGAAAGAGAAAACAATTATTACAAGGGGAATGGCAGAAAGGAAGGGAAGGCCAGAGGATGCCACAAGTGATGGATAAGATAAATGATGGGCTACAACTGTAAAAAGGCAAGAGAAAGGAGGATGGAGGCCAGGTTATTCCAGGAGAGGAGTATAAATTTATTTTTCTCTGGATTAGTAGGGAGGTACCTCTGACATATACAGTAGCATATCAAGTTTAACTGATGAAGCATTCTGACTTTATACAGCTCTTTCGGAAAGCACTGAAAGCAAATACAGCCTTAAGTCACATATAATGTTTACTGGTGATGCCCCACACTGAGCACTGTATAATAGAAAGAGCCTCTTCCCACTTTCTAAAGAGCTTATAATAGACCCTCTGGGAAGCTCAACAAATTGGGCCTCTTATGGACTACTGCCTTTGAATTTGCTTCATTAAACACTTCCTGTACAAGCACATTATTCCACTGTTCCAAAACAATACAATTAAAAATCTTAAATGGCATATTTAAACTTAATATGTCTTGAATTAAAATTACTTTCCAATTTTGTAGTTAAAATCTTAAAATCAGCTTAAATTTTCTGAATCTTTTAAGAAATTATAACTTCTCAAATATATATGATGTAGCATATAGACTAAGTCTGTCCAGAAAAAGTCCAACCATTGTTAATATAACAAGAACGGTTTGCATGACATCGATATAACCTAGGAGAGAGGACCACCAAGGAGAGAGGACTGGAATGCACATGCGTGCACAATGACGACTTCACTGTACTAGTCAGTGGGGGTGGTAGACACCATTGCATGGACATGGTACTGTGTGGCCATCGCATTCAAAATGACTGTGCAAGTAGAGCTGTGACAGGCAACCACCATGTTGAGCCCCTGTGCTTTGTTCTTTGTTTTAGCCAAATAAGGTAACTAGATCTAACTTCTGCATTTGGGCTTCTGTAACCTTGCTACGCCACGTAGGCAGGAAGCCCGGGGCTATTTAAACCCCAGAAGGTCAGAGTTCGGGGCTCGGAATTTGGAGTCCCATTGTCTCCTCTGAGCCCACCTGCGTAATAAAGGGTCACGCTCCACCATCTCTACCGCGTGTGAGTTATTCTTTCCCGCAACAAAGCAATGCATCTGCATCAAATTTTGTGTTAAGCTTCAACATTCCTCTGTGGAAACTATCTGGGTGATTCAAAAGGCCACAGCTTTGGGCAACTGGTCATCGGCAGCTTCATCATGACAACATGCCTGCTCATGTATCATGTCTCGTGTAGAATTTTTCAGTGAAACATCAAATCACCCAGGTGACTCACCCTCCCTTACAGCCCAGGTTTGATGCCCTGCAACTTCTGGCTTTTTCCAAAACTAAAATCACCTTTGAAAGGGAAGAGATTTCAGACCATCAATGAGATTCAGGAAAATACAAATGGGCAGTTGATGGTGATCGGGAGAACTGTGTGATGTCCCAAGGTGCCTACTTTGAAGACAACTAAGGTATCATTGTCCTATGCACAATGTTCCTTGTATCATGTATCTTCTTCTATAAATGTTTCTATTTTTCATATTACATGGCTGGATACCTTCTGGATAGACCTCATATAATACATATATCTCAAGTCCATACATAAACATATAACATAAAGAATTTACTGGATTGGGAGTAAAAATGAGAAAACTGTATATGAACAATGATTAATAAAAAAAAAAGAATTTATATTAACTCTGGTGTCATGACTCTAAAAAGGTTGACTCTTAAAGGGGAATTTTAGTTACAGAAGGTAAGACTGGGAGAAAGCCTAATAACACTCTTTTATGTTTAGGAGTTTTATTATAAAGAATATTCTAATAGTAACTGTCTATTAAGACCTGGAGAAAGAACAGAATCCACATGCAGAATGAAGAAGTTCAGTGAGCCACAATTACATTTTCATGTTTACAAACATAAGGCTTCCAAAAGAGATCTTTAAAGTCACTGAGACAAAGCAAGATGCTTTATGATTTTGGAGTGGACACGATCAGACACTACGAATCCCACAGGCCCACATAAAATATCTCTTCCACTTGAGTTGATTCAAGCTCTCTCTCTAGCCTGGAATAATCATACCAATGTGTGAACATACACACTTTCTCCTACCCCTCTCCTTTGTTTGCCTTCTTTTAATAAGGAGCCCCATGGACCCTGGCAGGTTCCTCTCTGCTTGGTTGTAACCAAACTTCAAAATTTCTCTGTACAATACCCTTAGGAAACTCAATCTTTTAAAGAAGAGTACACATTTTTCTTCCAAGAAATGAAGATTGCATTTGTGGTGAGGAAGCAGAATGCAAATGTTCTTTGAACTACAATGGGCTGATGTCCTGAGAAACCCTTGGTAAGTTGGAAATGTTGTAAGTCAGAAACACACTTCCCACACTTGGCCTCACAGACGTGAGAGCTTAGCCTAGCCTACCTCAAATGTGTTCATAACACATCCATTAGCCCGCTGGTGGGCAAAGTCACCTTACTGCCACTGCCAGCATCACAAGAGTATTGCACTACCTAATCAAAAAGAGCAAAATTCAAAATTCAAAGTACGGTTTCTACTGAATGAATATTGCTTTTACATCACTGTAAAGATATTTAGAATCCTAAATTGAACCATCCTAAATTGGGGACTGTCGGTACTCTCCAGA